AAAAAAGCTTAAAAAAGGACAAAAAAGTTTGGTCCATACAACTAGAGCAATACTTTGTCTTGTGTCGTTTGACATCATATGATCCCTTATGAAAATTAACCATGGTTTTACTACAAATAAAACCAAAATACCATGGTTACTATAGTTAAACCATGGTAACCACAAATTAACCATAGTTTTGCTACACTAACCATAGTCTAACCATGGTATTTGTACAGTAGTAAAACTGTAGTTATACAAATGCTAATCAATAAGCCAAAAAACATCCCTGGGTTACGTATGTAACCATGGATCCCCGAAGGAATGAGACGCTGCGTCGAAACGCAATGGAAACGCATCCAGCGTGACCATGCTCGGAATCACGTGTGCAATCAGTCCAATGGAGTGGCAAAATGTCACAGGCGGGGTGACGAAGTGAGCAGGAAGCTTAAAAGCACATGCGGTGGAGACAGCGCCAGCTTTTGGTAAAAGAAGGAAGCGCTCGCAGGGATGTCGGCAGTATGGCAATGAGACGAAGCAACTTGTTCCCTTGGGGAGCCATGCTTACATACCTAACTCAGGTGACGATCCCCTTCAGGAACTCAAGCTGCATCGAAACGCTATGGGAAGTATGCCCAGGCCACCAGACTTGCAAATCCCTGCCTAATGTGGAAGAGCACAGCTAGGGCAAGAGAACAGAGGAGCCAGGAGTGGCATGAACATCGAGGTTGTGAAACTTTACGAAAGTGAGCGGCGTGGACCAGCAAACCAGATGTCGAGCATGGGGACCCCCGACAGGAAAGCCTTGGAGGCCGCCATGCCCCTAGTAGAGTGAGCCTTGACCCCTAAAGGGGAGGGAAGATCAGAGGACTTGTAGGAAAGAGAAATGGCATCCACAATCCACCTGCTGAGGGTCTGCTTAGTACCAGGGAGAGCCCACTTAGAAGGACCATAGCAAACAAAAAGCTGGTCCGACTTCCTCCACAGGGCAGCTCTGTGGACGTATACATCCAGTACTCGCATATACAGTTAAGCTTCTGCTGGTCTGGGTCCCGGAAGGGAGGAGGGCAGAAGGCCTGCAATAAGACCAGCCATGGGACGGAGGAGGACACTTTAGGCACACACCCCGATCTGGGGTACAGGAAGGCTTTGGCCATACCAGGCGCAAAGTCCAAGTAAGAAGGGGCCACTGAGAGGGCCTGTGAGTTGCCAACTCTCTTCAGGGAAGAGATAGCTAGGAGGAAGACAGTCTTGACTGTCAGAGCTCGATCTGAAATCTCCTCAAGGGGCCCGAATGGAGGTCTGCAGAGAGCCTCCAGAACCACGGCCAGGTCCCATGGAGGGACTCGAGAACGTACCGGTGGCCTCAGCCTCAGCGCACCACGCAGAAAACATGTAACTCGTGGGTGTCTCCCCAAAGACTGACCACCAAGAGGGGCGTGGTAAGTAGCTATGGCCGTCACGTAGACCTTCAAGGTGGAGTGGGTTAACACTGCAGAGAACAGGTCCTGCAAGAACTCCAGCACTGAACAAACTGGGCAGTTAACTGGGTTGAACTGGTGGTTGCCGCACCAAGAAGTGGGCAAGTTCCACTTCAAGGCGTACATTTTCGTTGAGGGAGCTCTGGACTGGAGGATGGTCTCAACAACAACAACCCCTCAGGGGTCACACCCACAGTTTCCACAACTCCGGGTGGTGGTGAAAGATGGTGCCCCCCGCCTGAGAAAGGAGGTCCCTCCCGACGGGAATCTCCCATGGAGAGCCGTCGAGAAGGGACACAAGGTCCGAGAACCATACTCGGCCTGGTCAGAATGGGACAACTAGCAGAAGATGGACCCTGTCACGGTGCACTCTCTCCAGAACTCCCGGGAGCAGAGCAATCGGGGGAAAGGCATACAGATGAAGCCTCGACCAAGTCTGTACCATACCATAGCATCCAGTCCGAGAGGAGCTGGGTGAGTGAGGGAGAACCAGAGGGGACAGTGCGAGGTCTCTTGAGACGCGAACAGGTCCGCCTAAGCCAGGCCAAACACTCTCCAAATCTGCTCCACCGTTTGGGGGCGGAGTCTCCATTCCCCAGGCCATGGCCCCTGCCTTGACAAAAAAATAAATCAAGAGTTCATTAAATTCATGAATGAATCATTCTTTTAAAAAAATTAGTTGATCCAGTTCACAAAACTGGCCTGAATGATCCGTTCACAAATTCATCCGTTCACCCTGTTTTTGTGCACATTTTGAAGTATTGCATCAGAGATGAGAGATGGAAAAGCCACATTTTGAATAAAAGTCCCTTAATTCTCAAAAAAGTTTTTATGTCCGCTTAAAGTGTTTTTTTGACTTGTGCGAAAAAGGGTTAATGCAAATAATGGGAGATGGAAACGAATTTGCCAAATAAATTCCTTCATGCGCATCAAAAAAGTGATGTGACTTGGCGCTATAAGACGGTAAAACCTGACTAACCAGAGGACGGATCTCTTTTCACAGCATCTGAAATGTTGTTATGGTCATTCTAAAATGCCTGAGCAAAGTCTGTCGTCAAAGTATTTCTGTATGATTGCCTCCCAGAACTGTCTTACAACAGCAAACAGCAGGCATCCACCTCCGAAAGCAATGACCGCATTTATTGTGTTTCGTCTGCTCGCTCTGAGGTGCAAGTAATTTATTATATATGAAAATTATTATATTCAGTGGCTTTTCCCACTTTTCTTAGTGATATATAGTGCCAGTCTATCAGGAAGTGACGATTTTGTTCTCTTTGACTCGGATGGAAACGGTGCTTATTTGCAAATCTTTTATGCGTTTATTTGCAAATGTTTAGTTCCAATTTTGCACACAAGTTAAATTTGCAACTTTCGATGGAAACCCAGCTAGTGAAAACATTGGTATTTTTGTTAATTTGGCTGAAATGTTGTGCAGAAGTCATATGGATTTCTTTGATGAAACATTTATTGTACCTTTATGGTGCTTTTTGAAAGCTTCAATCCACATTCATTATAATTACTTGGGAAAGTGCGGTCTTCTTTTTTGTTCCATGGAAGAAAGTAAGTCATACGGGTTTTGGAATGACATTACAGTGAGTGCATTATGACAGAATTTCCTCTTTTTGAGTATTCTGTTAACTGTATTATGCATTTGGTGCAATGGCCTTTTCATTAGAGAAACCATCATGCACACATACATTCCTCTTAAGAAGTTAGCAAAGAGGCCAGATGTCTTACTCAAGAGCTAATGGCCTTCATGGCCACTTGGAAGGAGGCCACGGTCTGAATTAGCTGATGACAGATTCGGTTAATGATACATGCTGTGGCCATGTGAAGAAATGAGTTTTTATGCCAATATGGCAAGAGGAAGGAGAGGGTAGAATGAGTCCTGTGAAGCATGAACCAGTCAGCCCTGAAGAGACGAGAGCAGTGCCCACTCATGAATCCCAATCGACAGCGCTCTGTGATTAGTCACCTGCTAAATAGTGGCCACCCCGAGGACATGAGCTTCTCATCACCAGAAAGATGAGTTAGAAAGGGTTCAGGGCCACTGTGAGATCAGCAAATGTCAGCCAGGTCCCAGTCAGGATCCGTTCCACTTCTAACCATACCGTTCTACTGATCGCTGAAGCAATATGGCAGCTAATCAAAGGCTGTTTCATGAAAAGAGCTCTTGGCCATATGCTTTTATGATGGATCCAGAACTCTTGAGTTGTGAAATAGGAATCACTCCTCTGAGTGAAGTGCTGTGATTATGGTGCCTTCTAAGATGCCTTGTTTTAGCCACATAATAAGGCAGCATCCCATCCATCACAAAAAATAAAATCCCAATGTATTTTGATGCTTTATATTAAACCTGAGTTTGAAGTACTGCACTCGTTAGCATGGTCCAGTGTGCCCCTGCTGGTGGATGTTATAATTACACAACATCGACCAACAATTATATTATATTATATTATATTATATTATATTATAGTGTGTATGAAAGAAGTTCATATGCACACCAAGGCTGCATTTATTTGATCAAAAATACCGTATAAAACTGTAATATTATGAAATATTATTACATTTTAAAATAACTGCTTCCTATCATTTAAAATTAATATTTTAAATGTAATTTATTCCTGTGATGCAAAGCTGAATTTCTAGCCACCATTACACCAGTCTTCAGTGTCATATGATCTTCAGAAAACAGTTGTACTTTTATGGAAACGTGATGCATTTTTTTTCAGGATTCTTTGATAAATAGAAAGTTAAAAAGAACAGCATTTATTTGAAAAAAGAATATTTTTTATAATAGAAATCTTTTAAAATGTTTTGAAACGTAAATGTCTTTAGTGTCATTTTAAATATAATTAATGCATCCTTGCTGTTTTTTAAGTTGTTGAAAAGTACATCATGTACATCAACCCTCCTCCACAGATAAGACAGCAACTCTCAAGGTCATTGATGGTTACAGAGAAAACCATGTCATATGTACCCTTGAGTAAGGCACTTTACCCCAGCATGTCCCAGTGGATTGACCCTACAAGTACTGTACTGTACACTTTGAAGGGGTCATTTAATGGCATGTATACCGAATTAAAGTCACATTAGCAGTATATACATCATAAGCATTATGATATTAACATTGGGAATGTACTGAGTTTTAAATAGCTGTCTGGCGTGAGGAGACGCAGCGCACGGCAGGAGAGATGTTAGCCTTTATGTCTCTGTTTCATTTAGAGATTGATGTGTTTTGATGTTAACTCCATTTAGCGAATGGCTTGTCTTATTATCATTGGTCATAATAGACATGAAGTGAATCATAGGCTATGTTTAAGGTTAAA